TTAATACACATTTAAGGAAGTGGCTTTTACCATCTTGGTTTAATTTGGGTAGGTCATACACTTCTAGGAATTCATCTACTTCTTCCAGATTTTCTATATGTTCAGAACGTAAATCCTCTGGAATTCATTAGCATCCATTGTAATGCCCCCCCCACCCCTTTCATCTCCATTGTTATTAGTTTCAATCATCTCTCACTTTCTTGTGGTCAATTTATGGAAGGGCTTGTTCATTTTGTTTTCTTTCCAAAAAGCCAAACTTTTGTTTCTTTTCTTTTTTCTTTTTATATTGTTACGTTAGTCTTCATTTAATCAGTTTGTGATCTGATCTTTATTATTACTTTCTATCTACTGACTTTGAGGTTCTATATTTTTGCTTTTGTAAACCTTTGAAGTGTATCAAGCTATTAATTTGCAATTTGACTTTTCTAGTAAGCACCAATAACTATATTTCTGTAACCCAAAGTTCTGTAAACCCAAAGATAAATTCTGGTTTATTTTCATTTGATTCTAGGATTTAGAAAATATTTCCCCTGGCTATCCTTAACAAATGGCAGATGATTAAAAATTGTATCTACAACCTATGGGTTCTGACATAGTTTATGTCATCCCTTTTTTCTCTTGATCTCTATTTTATTCCATTATGATATGATAATATAGAATGAATTATTTTGATTACATTTGTTAAAACTTCCTTTCTTGTCTAAAATATTGTAGATTTTTAGAGAATGTTGCATGGGCTATTGAAGAGAAGTTGTTTGGCAGCTGTTGGATGGACTATTCTGTAGATGTCTAACTGTCTTCAATCTATGGCACAACTCAATTTGGAAGTTTATTGGTTGGTTCTCTTTAACTAAATTATCTACTTGTTCATGGCTGGGATTTGATGCCACGCAGCTTTATTGTATCTGACTCTATCAGTCCATTTCTGACCACTAGTGTTTCTTCTATGAAACGGTGGGTAACAACATTTGATGTATATGTTCTTAAGGGATGGTTCCATTTAGTAGTATATATTACTTTATTACCTCTGTCAAATTTTAGCTTTGCATTATCATATATAAGTATGGTCCTCTCATTGGTTAGGACTTCTCTTTTCTTGGTATACAGACTTCCTATCACTTCCAGCCTGTGTCTCTTGCTAGTGTGTTTCTTATAGACAACACGTCATTGGATATTATTTTTAAACTGGATCACCCAGTCTTCATTCAATTGGACGGTTATAATTATTTACATTTAGGGTTATTATGGAGAGGAGTTGCTGATTCATATATATTTTTTTGGTTGCCTTTGTGGTTCATTCAGTCATTGATTGTTTTTTCTCTGTCCCCTACTCTTGGTAAAGGTTTGGTAGTTTATCTGGTTCTCTCATGGGATGTGTTCTTTCCTGTACTCTTGTGCTTGATGATGTCTTCCCTCCTTTGATTCCTTTACGTACACTAAATCTAGGGATGAGGCTGAGCCTCCGAGGCTGATGATATTCGATTTTGTACACCCTAAAGTGGCTGGTTTCTAGCCCAGGCCTGTCTCCCAAGTGTGTTGGAAAGAAGATGCAAACACATTAATGAGATCCACGCAGCAGATCAGTCTCTATTACTTCAAAACCAGCTCAGCATTAAACACACTGCTGCTGGGATGAAGCTGTGAAGGTTAATTACACCTTTGAACTTCAGAGTCCTCAGTGAGCATTGCAGCAGAGAGGTGAATCCAAGATAGAGGCTGTGCTTCATGCTCATGGCTACCATCTCTGCCATTTTCCTTAAGGGATGGGCTCATTTTTCTAGCCACCAAGGGCAAAGCTACTCACACACCACACCCTTTCCTGCCTGAGCCAAGCTACCTGAAATCCTTGGTTTATTGACGTAGGCTTCCTTTTACCCACAATTGTCTTCTATACTAGGGATGTGGCTGATTGTTCCTGGGTTCCCTGACTTGTAATTATTCTTTGTAATCAGGGTCGAAGGATAGCTCAGTCCTCAATAATAGTTTTCACTCCAGATGGCACCAGCCACAGCCCATAAAACTTGAGGAGTAGGAAGTTGGATCCTCTCTTCCCTGCAGGCCCCTGATGCAGAGCAGTAGGCTGGCTATACCAGAACCCCAAAACAACTGGAGGCTTCAGAAGATGGTGGTTTTGTTCTCAGGGTAGCACTCTTTTCATTTTTAAGATGAAGTTCTTTGCTTCTCCCTCTGTTGGAGAACAACCGGGCAGACAGAGCTGGGTATCATTCATCCCTGCTGGTTCAGCTTCTCTTCTGCTTCTCCTCACTTTTCAACCATGCTGCCACCCAGTTTGTGACACCCCTCTGATGCTCCTCTACTATGTCTCCTTTTATCTACGACAGTTTTCCTTACTGTGAGCTATAAAATGTGAGCACAAGCTATTGACCAAGAGGCCTCATGGATCCTATCAAAACTTTGGTCTCTGTTTTCAGAATACTAGAATGAAATAATTAAAATGTTTATAAACAACAATGTCAAAACTCACCAAGTGAGTCACTTTGGTAAGAAATAAAAATTTGTCCTTGACAGAGGAAGTAGCTGTAGATGTACAGGTAAGAAAATTGTATTCTGTCTTGTGCACGTTGTCTTTTGTGTGTGTATGTATGTATGTGCATATTCATGTGTGTGTATACATGTTCACGTGTGTGTGTGTGTGTGTGTGTGTGTGTGTGTGTGTGAGAGAGAGAGAGAGAGAGAGAGAGAGTGCGCGTGTGCACACACATGCAAGCATGCTCATTTGTGCTATGGACAGAGGTCAACTTTTGGTGTCCTTACTCAGCAGCCTTCCAGATGATTAGTTTTGGAAATCTGGGACCTAGGGTACTCCCCAGTTGGGTACTGGTCAGTGAGCCCCAGGGATCAACCACCCATGTCCAGCTCCCTAGTACTGGGATTAAAAGCATGTGTCTCCTCATTCAGCTCTGTAAGTATGTGTTGGAGGCTGAATTCAGGTCCTCATGTGTGTGCAGAAACCACTTTACTAACGGAAATGTATTCCTAACTTCAGAAAGTTGTATTTAAAGAAATTATGTGCATGACTGTTTTGCCTGTATGTACATCTATGCACCACATGTGTGCCTGGTGCCTATGGAGGCCAGAAAGGGAGCTGGATCTTCTGGAACTGAAGTACAGATGGTTATAACCACCATTTGGTGGCTGGGAACCAAACCCAGATCCTCTGCAAAAGCAGCCAGTGCTCTTAACCTTTGAGCATCGCTCCAGCCATGAGGAAAGTTGTAGTTTTAAGACATTGGGCCATGTTGCCAAATCTAGCTTGGTTTGACCTCCTGATTTCTTTTTATGTTAACTGGGAGTCCTTTGGTAAAGAACAAAACAAGACAACTCTTCTTCATCTGTAACGGGGAAATGGACAGGAGTTATTTGATCTGCATTGTGTAAGGATGGATATGACACACAGAAAGAGTATGATGCTGTGTCTTCTCTCTCCACTGTGAGCACCCGGAAAACAGCAGCGTGACTCAATCCAGGACAAGCCCCCACTCTACTAAGAACACCTTGAAGCCAGTCATTCCATCTAGTTCCCATCTCAGCTCATCACTGGTCCCCACCCGCGTTTGTAGAGCAGGGCCCTTTCTTCTTATCTCACAGATACATTCATTTCTGGTCAGAGAGGGAAATGACTCATGAGGTCACTATGAACGGCAGCAATAGGCAGCAGCATTTCCACATATCACATCCTATGAACAGACTTCATTCTAAGTATGTTCCATGCCCTGGTCCTTCTAGTCTGTGTAAAAGCCTTTGAGAGGAAGTTATCATTATTTCTGCTTTTCGGAGTGGGGATGTGGGATGGAAACAGATTACCAGCCTTGTCCCAGGTCATGAAGCTAGCAAGCACTCAACCTGGAAGCCGGACCCCAACTGGTTTGCTTCTAGAATCTCTGCCTTTACTCATTACTCTACACTGCTCCCCCCCCCCCCCCCCCCCCGGATGCTAGCACTCAGTAACCTGACGACTACAGCCCAGAGGATTTCTATCACCATAGAAACAATTTTGTGCTGGTTTCTCTTCAAGAGCAAACCCCAAATCCACACTTGACACTGCAGAACACACATAGTTAATCAGTAGCTTCCAAAGTTCTCCCTGCTCTTCTGGGGAGGCTTCCCAGTGATTGCTGATCTGGTGATGAGGCTCCCTGTGGGGGGTGGGGTCCAGGGTCTTGAGGGCCATTAACTAGCCTTGTCGTGTTGTCAAGTACCTTAAAAGCCCATCTTTCATTATATGGCACTGTTCAAACATGACTGCCAGCCTCCTCCTTGCTCGTTGATCTGAATACACAAATGCAGCTCAAAAGGACAGCATTCTAGACAGAGACGTTCCCGGCTGGGCTGCCAAGTTCTCTAATTCTGACGCCAGAGCAAATACAGTGTCGAGGCTGCCGGCTGAAGGCTGTTGAGGTTACAGAATCTATTCATAGGAGACACGACCCTTCCTGCTCTCAGAGGCTAGAACTGTTCAAGGAAAGAGTGGGAAGGGAGTTGGCCTCCAAAACAGGTCAGTCAGGCCAAGGCCATGTGATGCCCAATGCTGGTCCTGTAAATGACACATCCTAGGCTGAACACAGGGCTCTGTTTGCAGCTGGGACTCTGTAAGCTCTAAGAGATGATGCAATTTGATTTTAACAGTAAAGAGGAGCCCAAGAAGTAAGTTTTGGGTCAGTCGGTGTGAGGACCCCTGGAAGAGGACCCCTTATCAAGGCTCCCATGAGCTTTGCTACTCTATCAAATCTCAGATGGAAAGTTTAGGTCTCACAGAATGTGAAGTGGAAGGCATCAAGTCTCACCTCCTCAGGAGCCCTCTTTGGACCCCCCCCTCCTTTCTGACACCCACAGCAGAAGCACACTCATCGTCTCCTGAATTATCCCCAACACCGCTCGTGCCCCTTGCCGCCCTTCAGTACCTGGCCCAGGATGGCGTTGAGGCGTTCTGATTCACAGTCCACCACCACCAGCCTCTCCTTTTTCTTCTCCAGGTCCTGAAAGAGCATCCGGTATCCTTCCTCTGTGGTCGTCAGGATGTTGACAGCCGTCACCTGCCAGTTCTTCTCTGCAGCTGTATCCAAGACTCTCTGCAGGACTGACAGGCCTGTAGCGGAGGGGCGGACAGAGACATGGCAGCGTCAGCCTTCGCAGGTGACATCTGCTGCTGCCTGCGTTTGAGGCAGCCCACCCCTACTTCCACCAGGCACGTTTAGCTATCTCTCTGTATCCACTTCTGCAGGACTTGTGAGGCTGTCTACACCCACTCTCCCCGCGCACTCACTACTGTTTGCATCTACTTCCCTGGGTGGTCACTGCTGCCTGCCGCCCTATATTCCTGTAGCAAGCTCAGTTCCTGCTGTGTGTCTGAAGGCTGCAGAGGTAAGCACCTGATCTTTTGTTGGTATTCTGTTTACAGGGCATGACAGACAATAAGAAGAACTTTTGCTTAAAAACCCCTCAAAAGGCTCAGATCCAAAGTAAAAGCTAAATTACAAGATTGGCTCTCTTGGCTGTCTGAACTCCCCCGCCTCCAATGTAAAGAGGCATCATCAACAGTACCTGCCTCACAGTGCTCTGTGGATGACTAGATAGGAACGTGGGGTGTGGGCTGGTCTGATACCTTAAGGGTTTTCTAAATGGTAACTTATTATTTGGGGACAGCTGTACTTGGAATGAGAAGAATCCCAGATAGGATCATGTATAGGTTGGGGAGGTTACTGACTCCTAAGAAGGTGGAAATGTGAAATCTGAGTAGAGAAAGTATGCCATGGGTGGTGGTGGTGGTGGTGTAGGTGGTCAGGTTTTACAGCTTGGTCCTGTTTCCTGTTCGTTTCCTCTTTTCTCTTTCTCTGCTTCCTGTGCACATATGCAAAGCAATCAAGCCCAGCTTCCTGCACCTGCAGCCATGTCTTCTCCACCATGATGGACTGACTATCTGACCCTCCAGAACCGGGAACCAGAATAAACCCTTTCTTCCTGAAGATGCTTTGTCAGGGCATTTCACCACAGCAGCAGGAAAGGAACCAATACAGGGAAATTGAGTCATTGTTTATAGAACAGGCCAACCTAGTAGCTAAAGATAGCCAATGAGTCAAATTTGTGAAATTTGGGTATGGCTCCAATAGTTAATATGTTGTCACATAGTAGGTGTTCAGGAAATGTGTTCTGTATTTCACCACTATGTTTGATTAAGGTTGACTGTGTGCGGAGCCTGTTTCTCAGCATGGCTGCTTTCTTCTTTCAGACTCCAAGGTGCCCTTGTTTGTTTTTGCGCAGTTAAGGACCCCAAACTTAGTGTCATGTCTCCATGAAAATGTATAGCTTACATTTCAGGAAGCCAGGCCATGCTGTTGGCAGGGTTGGTGTCTCTCTTAGTGCTCTGGGAGAGGATCCATTCTCTTATCTCTCCAGTTCACGTTTGTCTGCTCTCTCTGCTCAGGTCCTTTAGCATAGGGCCCTTTTCATCTTCAAAGCCAGCAACAATGGTCCAGGCTTCCTCACCCAATCTGACACCAAGTCTTCTGGCTCCCACTCTCACAGGTAAAGACCTTTGAGATTTTACCATGTCCAGTGGAGTCATCTGGAACAACCTTTGTTTTCAAAGGTCAGCTAATCAGCAGCCCTCATTGCCCTGTACTCTTAATCCCCATTTGGCAATAGCTTTCACACATTTTCCACCTCCAGAGACAGGAAAGGGCCATGGAGGTGGTGGAAGTAGGTCTTTATTGTGCCTGTCATAGACAACTGCCTTGCTGGCATGTTACAAATTAATCTTTTGTATGCATTCCATGTCTGATTCCTAGTAACTCCATGAATTTTTTTTTCTACAGTGACTGATATGGCATCAGCCCCCAGGTAGCATCTCTAGATTGATTCTGGTCTGCTTTTCTATTTTGTTTCATTTCCAGCAAAAGTTGTATTGTGTGAGTGAGCTCCATATTTGCTGAACCTTCACTGTGTGTTTGGCACTATTTTGCTGGCTTTCCTCTCTTAGCTCACTGGATTCTAGGGGGTCTGTCTTATTCTGATCCCTCTTTTGAAGATGGACACCAAAGCTCATTAGTCCCTGATCACACAACCAGACAACCGCAGAGCTCAGGGCTCTGGGTTTTGAGGTGGACACAGCCCTTTGCAGAGTGTGGGTTCTTCTGTCAACCTAAAATTTTTTTTTCTGGGGGTACATTATGTTTTTTTCTGGAGTTGCTGCTTCTAACTTAAGCCTTTATTATGGCGAAGGTTGTTCTGAAAGGGACCGTTGGCAGATGGTCCACACCGTGGATGCTGTTAGAGAAGGGAAGGCATTGAAATAGGGAGCAACAAGAAGAGGTCAAAGAAAACAGAAAGAATGGAAGCTTCTGCTCTCTCTTTCTAGGTACCTTCCTTTCTGAACAGCAGCATTTCCCCTCTGCCTGTAGAACCATCTAAATCAGCCACTCTCCTGTCCAAAGTCTCTAAGTTTCTCTGAGGGTTCAAATCCATTTATCTTTTTACACGAGCAATGATAGTGTTCTTACAGGACTGGGCCATGCATAGGAAGAAGGCAGGGCAGGGCAAGCACACACCGTAGGGTTCAGAAAGAAGAGTTCCTGTTAGAGGGTGAGTAAACAGAGAAAATAGGATGTAATACAAAAGAAGCTGAGGACCCTATAGGGAAATGTGATAAATAGATGCACCCCAGGATAAAGAAGCTACAGAGAATAAAAAGTATGGGAAGCAATTGGGAAATGTGACTGCAAAATTAAAAGAGAGCAAGATTAAAAAAGCACCTAGGAGAAAGATGTTGATGATGATCATGGTGGTGTTGATGATGATGAGGGTGGTGGAGACAGTAATGATGGATGATAGTGATGGTGATGATGATGATTACAGTGAGGGTGTGGATATCACATGATAATAGTGATGATGATGATGGCAGTGATGGTAGTGATGATGATGATGGTGCTGGTGGTAATGTGATGATGGTGATGATGGTCAAGGTGATGGCAATGATGACAGTGATGACGATTATCAATATGATGTTGTTAATGATAGTTATGATGATGGTGGTGGTGGTGGTGGTAAAGAAGATGAGAGTGATGACACTGATGATAATTGTGATGGCTGTGGTGAAGATGAGAACCTTGATGGTGATCGTGTTGACAGTGGTAGTTGTTATGATGACAGTTGACAGTGATGATGGTGGTGATGGTGGAGGTGATGATGATGTTCATGATCACAGTGGGAGTGGTAGTAATGTTGATGATGATGATGATGATGATAGTGATGATGATGGTGACCATAGTGATAGTGATGGTGATGACAGTGGTGACTGATGGTGATGCTGATGCTGCTACTGTTGATGGTGAAGATGGTGGTGACATCAGATAACACATATTGAGGATAATATTTATTGTAGACAATGAACAAACATGTTTCAGTCATTATCTCATTAAATCTTCCAAACACACTCTTGAGGTAGTGACAATTCATCTTCATTCCAAGGAATGAAGGAATGAAGGAATGAGGGAATGAAGGCATGGAGAATTTGACTCACTATACAAGTGGTGAAACTGATGGATGAAGAACATGCCCAAAGTCACAGGGCTAGTGAAAAGGGAACCCAGGATTCAGATCTTGGTCTGTTCTATGCTCTATTAATAATACTGTGAGCTGTGATCCACTTTGCTGAAGACCTTGGACTTCCGAGATATGAGAGCTTGGTGAATGGTAGAATGGCTTGATGGCTTAGAGGATAGCTCTCTCAGAGGAGATATTTTCACACTCCGAGTTAAATATTGGCAACCAAGTAATCACCGCACACAAGCAAAGCACCTGGCTTGCTTCCCCATGAGCTCTACAGAGACAGAGACGCATCATTCTTCCTGCTGGTGATTTTTCTCCGTCCCCCAACAATCTCCTTTCCTTAACCTTTAGCTTACCCCGGTCAGCATCGTAAATGTAGACAAAGGTCTGCCACTTGTAATGGTCGATGATGCTAATGAGAGCTTCCTGTAGTTCTGGGCGCAGCTGAAGGACGAACTGATTGGACGTGTCAACGGGAAAACTTGGAGTAATGAAGCACACATGGAGGGCCCCACAGAAGGAGGTCAGCATGTTGACAGTCCTTCGTTCATAAAACCCAAAGATGGCATAGACTCCTTTGGAGAACTGGGAACAGACTAGAAAAGAAGATAAGAAAGGTTAGTGGAGGCTGGGGAGCCTCTCGCTGGATAAGAGTACTTGCTGCACACCATGAAGACCTGCGTTCAGATCCCAGCACCAATGAAAACAGCCAGGCATAACTGCATATGCCTGTAACCCCAGCACTGAGGTGTAGAGACATGAAAAATCCATGGATCTTGCTGGCCACCAGCCCAGCCAAAAATAGTAACCTCTAGGTTCAGCCTTTATATAAAGGGAGTAAGGTAAAGAGCAACAGATGATGACCCCCAATATCCTCCCTTGGCCTCTGAACATGTGCACATAGGTTCACACACCTGCATACACACATGTATACACATGCATACCCCCAATTAATAAATAGAAGATTTTATAAACAAATGGCCAGATGACTCAAATAATCAATTTAACTCACCATCACTTACCATCTGCTATCCAGCCATCCACCCTACCAATCAGCCCTCCTCCCATGCCTTCAAATTCCAATCTGTTCATCAATCCATTGATCTTCCCATCTTCCCATTCTGTTCACACTTTATTTGTGCAAACCCTCATCCATCTGTCTACAGCTAATGTTTATCAGGTGCCTGTTATAGATCAGCGGTATCGTGATTATTGATTACAGTAGCCACACAGCAAAGCACTTTCACATAATTGACTCTTCTTGTCACTACAATGACCATGTTAAGAAAAGAATGACAGGGCCACTTTTTAGAGGGTAAATTGAAACCAAGGATTGGGAGTGATTTTGTGCTGGGGAGACAGCTTGGTGAGTAAAATGCAGACCTTGCAAGAGTGAAGGAAGACAGGGATTTGAACCCTTACAACATGGAAAGCTGGGCACAGTAGTACGTGTGCCTGCAATCTCTGACTTTATGGTTAGATGGGAGGTGGGGACAGGAGAGTGTCTGGAATCTCTTGGGCCAGCTAGACTGTGTATACTGGCAAACAACAACAACCAAAAGCCTGTCCCAAGCAAGACAGAAAGTACGAGCATCTGAGGTCGTCTTCAGACTTCCATCAGTGCGTGCTTACAAACATATGCACACACACAGTTAACAGACATGTTATATATGTGTTCTAGGTCAAGCCCAAGGTGGGTAGATATGTTGACTGTGTGGCCACCTTTCACTTCTTTGTCCCTGACTTTAAGGCAAAGCTTAAAAATGGCTACAGGAAGGGCGGCAGCCTACTATTGCTGCTGACATGGGTTTAGGAACACAAGTATTCCTAAACACCTCGCTCGTCATCTCAGAGTATGTCTTCTGCTGAAGTTTGTGTTGCAGTCCTACATCTTGCTAGGGGATTTCCAGGCCTTGCAGAGTATCAGCCACAACAACAGCTTAGCCTGGCACATGCTCCCACAGGATCCATTCCATCGGACCCCAGAAGGGATGAATACTGGCTTAGGGGTGATTACATTCCTGCTTAGATTAGAATGCGATGGGAACAAGACTAAGGGCGTGGGACCGAGCTGCCCATCAGTCTGTAAACTTCACTTTTCTATCTGATACAGGTTGGAGAGTTCACAGTCCCCTCAGGGAGGGACACCCCTTACTTCATTATGAGAAGAGACCTTCAATGCACAATAACATATTGAGTCTTCAAAAATATTATTTTTTTATTTTATTATTTTATAATAAATAATAAAATAAATAATTTAAGTATTATTGTTGTTGTTAATATGTTTTATTCTTTGAGAATTTCACACATGAATATATTGTATTGCAGTCATCTTCATCCCTGACACCCACACTCTGCCTCTTCCCAGGTTCCCTCCACCCTGCCCCAACTCCTTGCTTCATATCTCCCTCAAGGTGACTTGCCCACTGACTGGCAGATCTTCATCTAGACCAAAACATCATGGATGCCTGCTCTAACCTGCCCCGTGACTG